ACAAAGGAACAAGACACAATTTACACATCAAATTTTGAATTTTTCAGACCAAAACTTTGAAACAGATTTTTGGGTCATTTCAGACCATAAATAGGAACGCTTTGAACCAGAACTTTTTATTTAATAGACCATTAAATTTTAGGTCTATGTTTTTTTATAATTATTCTTGATTTCATGGTGTTAATAATTTCAATAAATATTTTTTTTTTTCCATATTATGATATTCAAAATGCATTAAGTTTGGACATTTCTGAAAAATTGGGACCAGATATTTAATTTTCTTTACCAGGCAGACTTCCCCAAATACGTCGATCCAACAGACATGTCCGATAATTTTTTATTAGGTCCGACGATTTTTTATTCCAGATCGGTCTGATTGTCCCGCTTTTATCCAAGTGGCATGTATACAAAATGGCATCTCTAAAGGTGGCAAACCTGGGAAAAAACGAAAATCTACGTCAGAGGAGCGCGCAGAACAGCAGTAAAAGGATGAAAAGAATTACCCGAGACAAAATTTAATGAAAAATGGAAGCAGGACCGTCAATCGTTTGGGTATGACAGAGAGGAGATGAAAATGCGCTGTAAGGTTTGTGCCTATTTTTACGGCGAAAAAATTAAAACCAAAAAGTGTCCTAGAAATACAAACACAAGTTTGATTAACTTTATTCGGTCTGACAGATTTCGTTTTGGTGTGACAGATTTTCATGGTTTGTCAGACTGAATGTCCGACACTTTTTGTTAACTTTTGGGAAGTCTGCCAGGCGGCATGTATTACACTTGCTGAAATAATCTATTAAAAATCTTTACAATACAAAAGTATGATACATGTGTGCATACGTTTAACTAAATTAAATAAGTTTGTTTTTACTTTAGCTTAAAATTAGCAACAAACTAATGTAATTTAGAATATAAGTGTACATGTTGGGATGTAAAAAAATCGTTCCAGTAATCACTTACAATGTATTTGGTAAAAATACGATATAAAATCTAAAATATATCAAAAATTGATGATGAATTGATGTGGTCCGAAATCTCCTATATAGCAGTCTATGCGAAAGACCAGAAGAGTTTCCCAGACAGTGGGTCAGGAAACATGAATTATAAAATTATGGTGAATAGGCCTACTTGTGACAAAATTGAACACTTCTTCTTGCTTTTACATTTATAATTTATGTGCATGCTGGAAGCAATTAAAGTTTTTATTTGGCAGGAATGATTTTAAGCTTGAAGACTCCAATATTTTACCAGACAGACGGTCCGACCAAATGGGAAAATTCATTGCACCTTCCCATTTTTTACTGGACAGGTCTGTGGGTCCACAGTCCCAAAAAGTCTAAGTCTTTTGGAATGACTGATAAAGACACTGGTCCAGGTGTCAAAGGCATGGTCCAAAATGTGCGATGCAGTCAGAAATATCCAAAAATTTGGTCTGAAATTTCCCATAACCTGGGCCAAAGTCAGGGCTTTTTCCTTCCATAGTCGGGGGCCGTTACGGGGCTGCTTCCCGAAAGAAAATTTCTTTAAAATCATGCATTTTCCCCAAAAATTGAATTTACATCAAGTTTTTTCTTCCCGTTTTGCAAATATACCATGTAATTTTTCCCCAAACTTAAGGGCAGGGATGCTTCACCAACCTGTGAAAAAAAGCCCTAAAATCTGGTCCGAAATGTCAATGGTCCGAAATGTCACATTACCTATAATTAACCATGCAATTCGTTGTTTAAAAGGTAAAAAAACGAGTATATATCAGTATGTCTATGATAGATAAATGTTTTATAAGTTATATCACCACTAGTTTGTAATTATACCTGATGCATTAAATGAAAAAACTTGTATTTTGTTCCACGTCATGGTATCATATCAACATTTTTTCCGCCAATGCATCGATAAATTCCGTGGTATCCGGATAACTACTTCCGGTATAGAAAAAAATCAACCTTGGGTTGCGTTTAGGTGTTTATTTCGGCTTCTCGTTGTCAGAGAAGATCTATGTTTTAAAACAAAATAGACAAATGGATAAACCAACTGAAAGTAATCCACCTGATGGCGTTGAAATAAAGCTGTCACGTGGTTCCACTGGTAAGTTTTCAAGAAGCTAAAGCGAAACCTAATACCCCACCCACCTCGAATAAAAATCAACCCGGCCCCCAAGTTAATCGGGCTCCAAGTCAACCCGGCACCAATACACATGCTCCGGAATTAAGAATATTGCGGGTTTTTCCAGCTAATCAGTAGGTAAAAAACAAACTTTTTACACAGACTCTTATGGTGTGGAGCTCAAAACGCCTTTAAAACCTAATAAAATCCCAGCACATGTACAGATGATATATATCAAAATGAATCGGGGTCAGCTCGGACCTAAAACGTACTCGGCCCCCGAGTCAGCTCGGCCCTATTCCAACTCGGCACGGGTCAACTCGGCCCATAATTATATATTACTGATAATGATTACTTTTTAAATGTTTTCATCATAACTTTCATTGTTTAATATTTTCACAGTAATAGACCTCTACTCAAGGATATTGAAAAGTTTTATTGACGAAAGTACCACTTTGTATGTGAGTTGTACATAGAGAAAGGAAGAGTTTACAATTGATATGCATGTTTTGTCTACAGTAAAAAAAAAAATATCCTTAAAACAGCATTGGTCGTATAAATGAATAAACACTCAAAAAGTGTTAAATACAATAACATTTATTGTCATAAAAATTAAATCCCAAAACTTTATTTATGGATCAATATTTAACATACATGCAGGGGTTTATTTAAGCGGACGCCCGCTTGCCCGCGTCGGGTAGAAATCGCTGCGGGCAAGTGAAATTTGAAAGCAAATTGCCCAGCGGGCAAGTGAATTTTCGTTATGCCTCCTATTAGCTTTGATATCCTTTGCCGATAATACTTTTCTTTCCGTTCATATTACAGTCAAACAAGTGTATTTTTAACTGTTTCTGATTGTAGTTGGACTCCTATCAACCAATCAAATTACGTAAAAAAACTTTTTCCATTTTGCTTTCCTTTCAAAATGGCGGGCGGCGCCGAAAGTTTTCCCATTTTTAAAAGAAAAAAGTCTGCAGCGATTAAAGAAAAAGCCACGGCAAAGAAATTATCTGATTTTCTGAATAAAAAGCATAAAATCACAAAAATTCAAGATGAGTTATGTCAATAAAGACTGACACAACTGCAAGGTTCAAGAAAGAACAGAAACATTGTGCCGTAAAAATCTACTCCTTTGAATCCTGTACGCTATTGTTTTCTTCATACGGTCAGAATTTAACTAACTGCCAACTGGCGTCAACTCATTTGCAATAGGCCTATAGAATTTTTTTAAAATTCGTCACCAGTAATCATTTTTACACAAATCTTGACGAAAAATCATAATAGTCTTGAACTGTTGTTTATTTATTTTCCTTTCTCCCCTACAGCAATGTTTAAAAATATTCTAGATCTATTAATAAACAGAATAAAATAATCCATAAAATGTTTAAAATCCTTTTTGGTAAATCACAGCATATTGTGTAACTATAAGTTATCTGAGGTCATTCTAGGTCATGCCTAATTTACGACCAAAACAGAAAAAATCTCCTTAGGTGAAACATACAGCAAATGACGTATATTTCGTCTGACAGTTCTTTGAACCAGTCAGTGCTGTGATCTGTATGATTACTGCATGCGGTGAGTCCCTTTGATGTGACAGATGTTAAAACTTCAAATAAATTTCAATACAAACAGGGAGGATAGGAATCAGACAGATCAGTATAACACATCCTGTCATGGACTTGGAGCAACTTGTTGTTTTTAAAAATGAAATAAATTTGAAAGGTACATAACTAGTTTGGTAATGCAAACAAAGCAAACATATTTTTGATATTTTACATTGTTTGAAATCAACAATAAACATATAAATCCTATCACAATTTTCAACAATCTATGTACTGTTTCCTTTTTAAAGTTGTAATAAGGTGATAGCATCTGAATGTTAATATATTTTAAAGGCACCTGGAATAGGGCCTAATTATTACCTGGTAATTTTTATAAGCCTTAACAGATCATGACTATTGTTAATCTTCACTTTCATTTTACTATTTTGATGTGAGGAATCCCTGACATTTAGGAGTTTTTCTAAATTAAATCTCAGGGATTTCTATTAGATCCCTGGCAAAGTTGTGTCGACCCCTAGACTATTGTGAATTAGCAAAAAACATATACAGTACTCCAGTAGGGAATTTAATAGGACTATTTTACTATCTGAGGCATAAGTTGATAGGATCTGCAACAAATCTTATTTTTACCCATAATTTTTGCTTTGATTATTAAAAATCTTCACATTTAAGATCGGGCAACCTGTTTTTCCTGGGGGCAAGTAGATTTTAAAAGTTACTTGCCCTTGGGGCAAGTGAAAGTCAAAACCTTAAGTAAACCCCTGTACATGTATATTGTATCTTCTTAACAAAGATAATTTCAAACAATACTTACATGTACACTGTCACCCTTTTCAATTTCTGTTTGTAATTGATCGTACTTTTGAATACTTTTATAGTAATTTACCCCTTAAATGTTATATTAACTAAACAATCTAAACCATCTATATCCAATATAAGTTTTTAAAAGAGGGCCGAGTTGACCTGTGCCTAGTTGACCCGTGCCGAGTTGGTATAGGGCCGAGTAGACCCTTTACCTATCAAAATAACTAAATATTAACCAGTTTGAAAAAATTTCTTATTTCAACGTCTATAATAAAACTGTTTTTTCACAACTGTGGTATATAAGGGCCAGGCCAGCCTGCACAACATTTTATTATGACTAGGCTTGATACTGTTGATAGCTCAATGTTAGTATTTTGATATTGAAATCCCAACTTGGATTGTTCCAGATCCAGAGAAGAGAATATCCATTACACAATCTGCAGCATGTTATGGGATAAAGCACAGCCAACTTCTGCCAATAAGAATTGTTCTGTTATGTTGTTGTTTTTTTTCATTATATGAGAGACCATCTGAGAAATGATTTTGATTTGTGTCTGTTTAGGTCTGGGCTTTAACATACGAGGTGGTGTTGATAATCCTCACATACCAGGAGATTCTGGGGATATTTGTAACAAAAGTTAGGGAAAATGGTGCTGCTTTTGTTGACGGACGACTCAAAGAAGGAGATAAGATATTATCGGTATGTTTTTGTATGACAAAACATATGTCTTTTAGATATTCATTCAATAAAAGAAAGACATTTACTGTTCTTCATTTTGTATATTTTAATTACCAAAGATAGGCCACAGGTTGAATTTATTTTTTACTAAAGTAGTAAATTAATTGAATTGGTGAGAATTTTCTACATTTGAAATATAATTAAGTTTGAAATATTTTTCTTTGTTTTTACATAACATTTGCAATTTTATGGGAAGAAAGATATATAGTGATTTTGTATTATTGCCATATGACTGCCCCCCGGCTGATTTTACTAGTAATTTGTGACCTGGAAGTAATTAGAGAATAATTATCATCCCTTAATTACTAGTACAGTTATGTTTCAGTACACCGTGTTCAACTCCTAGTCCACTCCTTCTTCTACTTGCTAATATCTGTCATATGTGAACTTGTTTACTTTACCATATCTAAGATTGTGAACATATTTATACTTACCAGTTAGTTCTAAACCACATCTCTTTTCGTTTGATAAAAAAACTTTGCTTAGTTGTTCATTATATTTTTTATATTTTGATAAGAAGACTGCTGTAATTTTACATGTATTCTATGACAAATTCAGATAAATGGGAAAAGTTTGATAAGCGTGACTCACGAGGATGCTGTACAGTGTTTTACGAGGGCCAAAGATGAAGTTGTTTTACGGGTTCAACATGGAGCCCAAGCAAAAATATTGGTAAGTGGATAGTAAACTGGTGTTTGTAGAAGTTGCTCCCCTTTAGAAATTCTTCTCTCTTTCTCAGCAGACTTGAGACTGGAAGGCCACAGGGAAAAAATAATGAGATTGATGTAAATATGAATGTATAAAATTTATGGAGTTTGTTTTATATTTTTATCTTTTTGGAAAGGCAATGTCATTACATACCTTTGAAAAAAACTTTCAATTGTCAAGTGAATTTTGATATTCTATTTTATCAGTGTGACAAATACATATGATCGCCATTCCATAAAAGTATTTACAGTTTTCTATTTGATTGTTAATTACAGAAGAAAAGGTCTCAAGAGAAACAAGCAGAAAGTGGCAGCCCCGGTGATGACTCGTCATCCAGCATGGAATATATTTAGCTATAGGGGTTGTTGTAGTTGGACTAGCACTTGGTGGTGTTTTTGCTTACAAAAAATTTTTCAAAAGGTTTTGTTAGCTACCGATGAATTTGGTGCAATTTAGAAAACTACTCAAATTGTTGTGTTAGTGTTGAAAGCAAAGTGAATAATTTACATTTTACAAAGATTGCAAAGACAAGTAAGTAAGTTGAAGTTCCAAAACAAAATTCAATACTATACATGTATACTGATATTTCAAATGTTTGGTTTATCCCCACCTAATGAGGAAAGGAAAGGTTTTATTCCCTATATATTTTTTTTTTAGAAGAATAAGTAAACACAGAGTCAATATGACATGCATATCTTCTCTTTCTTTATATTGGCCTTACATTTAAAATGTGTATTATTTTAAAACACAACTGTTTTTTTTTATTAATGTAAAGATTTAAAATTTTTGAAAATTATGAATTCAGTTTTTTTTTAGAGTTATTAAAGGAGATGTTTTTTACTATTATTCATTATGAATCACTTTTTCACATTTTTGTCCTATCGTCATCCTGTTATTCCCCTGTGATAGTTAAAACTTATTTTTATATAATTATGATTTGTTTCCTCTCTGCTAAATTTTGAATTCAAATTTCTATATTTTTGTTTCCTGATGAATTAATTTTGTATGAATTAATATTTGTATCAAATTTCAAACTTTTTTTTAGTTGATTTTTTGTGATTTCATTAAACAGTCTTTAAATTTCAGTTAAAATGATTATGTAATGCCACATAATTTCTGGGGAAAATATTAATTTGTTTTCACCAATATTATAAACTTGAAATGAGTTTAAGAATGTCAAAAACATTTAATTGTTTGTTTCTTTGGAATTTTGGTTTTATTGGTTAATAACAAGAGACAAAAAGAAATAAGAAGTTGATTTTGTTGTTGAGATGACGGGTTTTTTTGGCGTAAAATTATTTGTATTGGTATGGAAGTAATATAAGGATGTTAAGAATCAGTTTCATGGCATATATAGACTTAATTACTCTGAACCCTTTCATATATCAGTACTAGAGAATCATACTACAGGGTCCATTTACATCCAGATATTTTTCTCTGTCCGCCTAATCATGACAGCTAAATTTGAGTAATGGATGTGAACAGCTTTAAATCCTGAGCATCTCAATATCATATTGATGTCCTTGGCCACACATATTCAGGGTTATTATTTAACAGTTTCTGAATGAGGCCATCATTTTTTGGTTTTTACACATACAAAAAAAGAGGATTTTCTAAATTTCAAGGTGGCCCTAAATGCATTTAAGGCAGTCATTTTGGCCTACAGCCGCCCCCTAACGACAACCCTGCATTTTTCCAATGGAATTTAGAATTATGTGATTAGACAATCACATATTTTGAAATGGCAGATGTAAGATTTAATGTAGCTTTTTCATAAAAAAAAATTTTCATTTGAGCATAAAGACTGTCTCATTGGCTTTGCCTCATATTTACTTGTGATTGACTTTTGAAATGAAATACATTGTACTATATAAACTCCAGATTTTTAACATTGTAACAGTGTCAACAAATAGAGCATATCCCTTGAAGTTTTGTTGGTGTGTCCCTAGGTTTAAGTCCAAATGGGAAGATAATTATATATTTGTTCTGTATATAAAAATTAAACTTGCAACCTCAATTTTCAAAACCACTGCTGTTATACCTAGATAATTATGTGCATGCTTACAGACAAAAGTGATATGGATATCGTTTTTCTTTTTGCACTATTGTATGTTTTAAAGATGTTAACTATTTGGTTTGCTCATATTGTTTTTTTCTTTTCTAATTTATTTGCATAGAAGTGGCTATTATCACTTTGACCACACTCCATGTTTGTTTGTGTTTGTCTATATAATATATTGACATTGTATAATTGTAAACTAAACACAAACTGTTGTAACAATTAAGTAAAGGTACAACAGGGACATGTTAAGGGGGCTCATTACAAACTGTCAACAAATAAGTAATAATGTTGAGGTTTATGTCCTATGAAAATGTGAGTGAACCTTTTCTTTGGTATTTTTTTTTTAAAGCTTCAAATATGGATACCTTCATTTCATAATTGAAGCTCTTATTTTCTAATTTATCAGAGAAACCTTTTCATTAAAAGATAAAAAGAACAAAATTTTTGGTAAGTCAAGTATAATAAAGTCGTAAATGTTTTATGTGTAAATGGTTAAACTTGTTCGCAATATATGTTTTCGTGCTTTGATTATTTTGTTCTGTGCAACAGAATTTGAAAGTGATGTGTTGTTTCCAGATGTTTTTATGCCACCGCAGCATCTGCGATGCGGTGGCATATAGCGATTCACCTGTGTGTGTGTTTGTTTGTGTGTGTGTGTGTGTGTTATATAGATTATATAGTGAACTTAAAAAATCTTCTTGTGAAAAACCACTAGTCCAATTTCAACCAAACTTGGCAGGATTGATCCTTGGGTGAAGGGCTTCAAAAGTTGTTGAAAGAATTTTTCATTCCATGCAGAATCTTGGTTGCCATGGCAACCAAAAGGAATTATAAGAATAAATTTTAAAAAATCTTCTTGTAAAGAACCAAAAGGCCTAGAGCTTAGATATTTTGCATAAGGCATTGTCTGGTAGACCTCTACCAAGATTGTTCAAATTAATAGCCCTGGGGTCAAAATCGGCCCCGCCCCAGGGTCATTGATTTTCACTATATGTACATATAGCAAAACCTTAAAATACCTTTTTTGTAAAGACCCAAAAGGCCTAGAGCTTAGATATTTTGCATAAGGCATTGTCTGGTAGACCATTACCATGATTGTTCAAATTATAGCCCTGGGGTCAAAATCGGCCCCGCCCCGGGGGTCATTGATTTTCACTATATGTGCAGTAAAAACTTAAAAATACCTTCTTGTAAAGACCCAAAAGGCCTAATGAGCTTAGATATTTTGCATAAGGCATTGTCTGGTAGACCTCTACCAAGATTATTCAAATTATAGCCCTGGGATCAGAATCGGCCACGCCCCGGGGGTCATTGGTTTTCCTTATATGTATATAGGAAAAAAAAAAACTTAAACATGACTTGTAGTAAAAACTTTAAAAAAATTTCTTCTAGTAATTGACAAATGCTAGAGGTTAGATATTTTGCATGAAACATTATGAAATGAACTTCTAGCAAGATTGTTTAAATTATAACAATGGGGTCAAAATTGCCTTTGCCCCGGAGGTCATTGATTTTCAATATAAACATATAGTAAAAAAATCAAAAAATCTTATTGTCTAAAGGTACAAGGATTAATGCGGTGGCATAGCATTTTTCTCAAATGCAATCTTGTTTGTTTTGATATTTTTGGCATGAATTTTATTAAATTTTCAGTTCTTGGATTATACCATTAGTGACTGAAGTATACATGCTTTATGTAATTCATGTTTAGTATACTTTAAGTAATTTGTAGACCACATAGGACCAAACATTACCAGCTTGCTGATCAATTAGTTTTACTTTTCATTCAAACCGTACTTACCAATGTAGATTTATTTAAGATATTATTCCGTACTACCTTGCAAAAATAGTTTAGGATTAGAATTTTGCTTAGTTTGTATATTGATCACAATTGCAAGACATACAATAATAATTTTATAGTCATGCATTACGAGCATAGCTTAATTTTCTGATAAACTTTCTTTACCGGGTAATTTTTTTTTATTGGATTGATATTCTTACAAATACTGAATCAGTTAACCCTTTGATATTTATATAGATAATATTGATTGACATAATAATACTTTTTGTTTTTGCTTCCAAATATTTTCATTTCTGAAATGATTGTTGGGAAAGGGTTAAGGTACTGTGCCATTTATATTTTTATTTTTGTCTGTTTTGAGGTGAACTTAAATTACACTATGCATAATTTGAAGTTGATTTATTAAAAATTTTTTT